GGCCGGTGGTCACTCCCAGGGACCCGGCGTGCTGGGCCATCCCCCAGGGGGCGTGCCGGGCTCCCCCTGCTGACCACATCGGCCAGGTCCCCTCCCCTCTCACCACCAGTCACATCCATTATCCATGGTACTTTCTGCGGACCCCCTGAGGAAGCCCTGCCCTCTGCCCCCTCTGCCCAGCAGTGCCAGGGAAGGCGGCCCAGGCAGACACAGGGAGGCGGGCTCCTCCCAGAGCGCACACCGCCTCATGTCCCCCTGGGGCCAAGGCCCCCGCTGTCTCCCCACCCCAACCCACAGCACCCCATGCTCACTGTCATTGGCGCCCACCCCGGAAGTGGTTGGAGAGTTGAGGGCACTCATGGGACGCTGTGACTTCGGCCAGAAGAGGCCTTGATAAGAGCCAGGGGGCGGGGTCTGCCCTGGGACCCAGGCCAGCCCCTGATGCAGAGCCCCTGGCCCCGCCCCTGTGCCAAGGACAGCCAGAACATTCCGGTGCTTGCCCAGGAGGTGCCCAGCCTCCATGGGACATGCCGGGGACCTTGGGCTGCTGCAGCCAGGACTGGAGAGGAGGGGCGGCAGACCCTCTCTGGGCAGCTACAGGTCCCAACAACCCCCGGAGTGAAGCAACAGGGAAGGTTCAGCCAGGTCACAGGCAGGCAAGCCCTTGACCCACCCTCCTTCCCACCGGCCCCCTCGCAGCCGTGGGGACACGTGCAGAAGGTGACCCCCGTCCACCCACGGCCCTTGACCGCAGCCCACGCAGGGCAGCTCAGCCTGCAAGTGAGAGTTGACTCTTGGTACCACCATCACCCCCACACCCCACTCCTCCCCACAGCCAGCGGCTGATCCCAGGCCCTGGGAGCGGCCATTGCTGCCCACAGCCCCCTCCCCCTGCTGGGTTCCCACCAGGCTGTCAGTACCACAGGAAGTACCCAGGACGCACAGAGGCCAGCACTGGGCTGCAGGGGCCTTGCTGGAGCCACAACAGCCACAGGTGTGAAGCCAGAGGCCCTGCTGGGCGCCCACAGGCCAGCGCCCACAGCCAGGAAGAAGCCAGAGGGCGCCCCAGACACCCGCCCCCGACCTCAGCACAGCCACCCAGCTGGAGTGCAGCCCAGCCGCCTACACGGCCACTGCAGATGGCCAGCCCCGAAACCAGCGCACAGGGACCCAAGACTTGATGCTCAGCAACTTGAAACCCAAGCCACAGCGGGCACCACAGCGGACACCACAGCGGGCACGACAGCGGGCCCTGCCCCCGGCTCAACACAGCATGTGCCACAGAGGTGTCTGGCAACCTGCAGAAGGCTACTTGCAATTGCCAGCAAGCCACAAGGACCCAGGAAGGGGCCGACAGCAGGAGGGCTGGCACAGCATCAGCTCACCCACCTGGCCCGGACAAGCTGGCAAAGGTCCCCAGAGGACACCCCTCTGATGGTGGCCCTGCACCGTCCCCTCCCTGCAGCCACAGCCCATCGACCTCACAGGACACAGGGGCAGTCGGGGTCTTTGCAGCCCTGAGGATGGGAGCTTGGTCACACCAACACGCAGCCTCCCCAGGAACCCAGGCCGCAGATGGCCGGACCCAGTGGGAGGGGCGGGGCACTTCTGCCAGGTGCAGCCTTGTCACAGCCCTGGCCGGGCAGCACAGGGTGGTCTTCGAACAAACCACAGCAGCGGGCGCGTCCACAGCTGCCTGTCCCCAAGAAGAGAGGCAGCTTGGGGCCCTGCTCCCAGCTCTGCCTCTTGGGGAACGTCTGTGTAGGACCCTGACAAGATGGGGCTCAGCCGTGCCATCGGGGCGGGACCTTCCTAGGGTCCTCAGAGCCCCAGCCAGGTCTGTCCCTCCTGCTGCGCCTGCTATGTGGACACATGCACACCTGAACGCCAACCCGGCCCTGTGATGGTCATCCCAACAAGCCCGGGAGTGCTTGAACCCATCTGGCCTCAGCACAGATCGGACCCGTTCTTGTGGACAGATTCAGCAATTTTTATCAAAAGGCAGAGTCACAGAGAGAAAAGATAGATCTTATACCCCAAATGATTGCAACACCTGATGGTCTGAAGCCAGGAGCCTCTTCCGGATCTCCCCCCGGGGAGCAGGTCCCAAGGACTTGGGTCACCCACTGCTATCCCAGGCCACAGGCAGGGAGCCGGCTCAGAAGTGGAGCAGCCGGGGCTCGGGTCAGTGCCCATGGGTGCCAGCGCTGCACTCGGTGGCTGACACCATGCTGCCCGCTGCACTCAGTAAACTTCTCACAAGTGACCAGAAACGAGAGGGCACAAGGTACCAGGCCCATGGCCCTCAGGGGCAACCCCAAGAGCCCCGGGTAGGGCTGCTGAGATAAGAGTCCGAGGCTAGAGCCCGGCAGGTGTGGGACTCACATAGGGCTCCCTGGTGCATGAAGCAGAGCCCTCAGTCACCATGGAGAACCTGGCCTGGCAGTGAGCACTGACCCTGGGGTCAGCTGGTCCAGCCCCACGTCCTCCAACCAGGGGCAAGATTCACGGGCAGCAGCCGCCATCATTGCCATCTATACGGGGCCCAGCCCCCCCCCCCCGGGCACCCAGTCCTTCACGCGGATTCTTCTGGAAGCACTGAGCCAAACCTCAGTTCCCCGGGCAGGGCTGGTGATGCAAGTGCATACCAGGTCACAGGTCCCACGGGATGGAGATGTGAGGAGGGGCCAGGCCCACCCTGCTGATCACAGGGGCCCCCAGGCCTCCCATCCCAGCAGCCCCCACCCTGCTGATCACGGGGCCCCCAGGCCTCCCATCCCAGCAGCCCCCACCCTGCTGATCACGGGGCCCCCAGGCCTCCCATCTCAGCAGCCCCTGCTCCACGTTGTGAGAGATTCCGGAACACCAAAGGAAGACCTCGCCTCCAGCCTGTTCGGGGACATGGCAGCAGGGTAAGGAGGGCTCTGAGGGCTAGACGCCAGAATCTTCCATCTGCTGGCCATCTCCAGCTGGCCACAGCAGTCAGGGCTGAGCTGAGACAGTAACTGGCACCCTGATGGAATGCCAGCATCACAGGTCAAGGCTTAGTCACACCACACACGTGGGCCCCTCTGAGCGCTCTTATCAGCTCAACAATCCGTCAGTTTGTCGGTTGGTCACCCCAGCTGACAGCCCAGCACGAGGGGGACCTGTGGTCACCCAGCAAGTGCCAGGCCACAGTGAGACATTCACTCTGGGCCGCAGGGGACCCTGACTCTCAGGCACAGGGGGCGGGGTGCCCCTGGGAAAGCACCTTTTGTAGGAATCCCGGAAGGCAGTGCCAGCTACCTGTAACATACGCTGGTTCAACAGAGGCCTGACACCCAGTAGCCCCCTGCCCAGCCCCCCACCCAGGGGACAGAGTGATGCTGGATGGACATCCACTGTGCCCTGGCTGCCCAGATGCCAGGGGGAGGCAGTGAGGACGCGTGCTACAACAGGGCAGGGCTGGCTGTAACAGGCCACAAGAGAAGCGGGGGCACAGGGGACAGGAAGCCCCCATGGACCCCCAGCTGTTCCTGGAGCCTGGCCAGCGGAGGAGGCCACGACAGGAAGAGCCGTCCTCCGCGGCCGGAGCGGGGGTTCCCCCAGCAGGGACAGGATGTCCAGGCTGGGAGGGGGGGTACCCCAGCTCCCACCACACCGCGAGCCCCAGCCCTTCAAGGCCAGGCTCTGCCGGAAACCACATGTCCCACCCCACCCCCCATTTTATTCCCCAAGGACAGGGCAGGGCTGCACCCTTGCCCCAGGCTGGGTCCAGCTAGGGGGTTGGGTGAAGAGTCCGCCTCAGGGCCACGTCCAGCCCCTTCACAGGGGACATCCCCAGGTACACACCACGCCCCCCAGTGCCGAGGCCACAGCCCCCTTCCCACGCTCCCTCTGGTGGGGGAAGCCGGCACCCCCCCACCAGGCTGCCCTGGCCAGCGGGCCGCGGGCTCCCGAGGGACTGGCCCCCGGTGGCGGCACTGAGCCGACTTCCGAGGGCTGAACAATCAGTCAGGACTTCCTCCTAGGCGGCAGTGGGTCCGGACAGCAGCAGGGATCAGCCCGCCCCAAGGCAGCTCACAAGCCTGGAGCTGCCCAGAGGGTCCCACGTTGGCGCTAGACCAGGGTCCTCGAGGGGTCGCAATGCCCAACTCCACACAGCCATGGCCAGGGCTCCGGCGCCCTGACACCTCAGGGAGCAGAGGCGGTGGGGAGGGGGCCACGGGGAGGACGCTCGGACACTGCAGGCTTGTCCTTCTGGCAGTGGGAGACACTGCCCCTGTGGGCAAGGACGGTGGCAGCGTTGGCACCGTGGCCTGAGAATGCGCTCGAGCCAGTCCTGGCTGGCACCTGCTGCCCCTAGGGGACCCAGGACGCTCTAGAGGCAGAGCTCCCTGCCCGAGCCCAGCTCAGCAAGGGGTGCCCGCAGCCCAGCAGCTGGCTGGACACCAAGAAGCCACCAGCCAGGAGACAAGACCAGCGGGCCAAGGAGGGGAGCAGGAGGGGGCGCACAGCTTGGCTCTAATTGGTGGGAACTTCCTGGGCCATGTCCTTGAGAACCCAACGCCCAGCCCAGCTCAGCCACACCAGCGGCTCTGGGAGTGGAGGCACCTGCAAACCCCGCCTCACCTGCAGGCCTGCCCTGCTCACCGCCCCCACCCGCCAAGCGGCCCCAGCTGCCTCCGATGCAGGGCTGAGCAACCCCGGCACGCACCAGCCGCGGCTAACGCTGGCCAGGCGGACCTCAAAGGGACCAGCAGCACCTGCCGCCTGGCTCCCCCCACCCACACACACACCTGGCCGGCCCAGAGGGGTACTGGCACCGGCCCTGCAAGGGGCGCCTGAGTCCCTTCCCTGTAGCCACACCTGGGCTCCGCCAGCAGCACGCTTCACACACAGACCCACAGCAGCTCCTTGGGCCCCAGGGAGTGACCCAGGGACAGGTGCCTCATGAACCATCACCCTCGCCCCTCACCCCCACACCTCGCAGCAGGTGGAGCCGCCAGGGTACTCACACGGTGAAGTGGTAGACGAAGCATTTCCAGCCAGTGGGGCGCTCGAGGAAGTTGTAGACGCGGCCCTGGACGTGGGTGCGCGCCAGCAGCGGGCGGCGCACGCTGTAGATGGACATGCGCGGGTCCAGACTCACCGTCGGCCGTGGGCCCAGGTCGGGGGCAGTGGCAGCGACGGGGGGCGCGCCGCCCTCGGCCAGCTCCAGCGTAAAGGGGCACTTCTTGGCCAGGCCCGCGCTACCCCGCCGGGCACCGGACAGGCGGCCCCAGCCCCAGCGCTTTCTCTCTGCCCTAGGCGGAGAGGAGACCGCGGCCATGGCGAGGCAGCGCCCGGGGCCGCGCGCACCGGGGGGCCGACCGGAGCTCCAGCGAGGGCGGCCGCGCCGGGCACAGTGCCGGCGGCCGCGGCTGCCCGCCCCGCCCGAAGGCGGGGGGCGGTTCCCCCGGGGCGGGACTGCCGTCCCCCCGACTGACGTCCCGCCCCCAGCCGCGCTGCTTGCGCCCCAGCCCGCACCCACCTGCGAGTGCCGCTCGCGCCACGCGCCCCGCTCCTTGTTGCACCTGCCCTGGTGCTCGGCCCCGCCCACGCAGCCCCTGGCGAGTCGGCTCACTCTGAGCAGCTTCGCTAGGTGCCCACAGCTCGGAAGAGGGGCCAGTGCCCGCTTCCCCCAAAAGGAAAGCCGCACGACGTGGCTCCGTGCCATTCCCGCCTCCTGGCTTCCGGCAGCACACACCGGGCGCCACAGGGTTGCCCAGTGGGATCCGGGACTGTCTCCTGTCCTGTGAGGCAGGGCTGCCTGGGCAGGCCCCCGAGAGGTGATGCTGGGGACGGAGCAAGGCCTGCCCTCCTGGTCCCCCTGCCCTAGGCCGAAGCCCGTGGGCGTGGTGACCCCCGGGAAGGTCAGGCCAGGCCCTTGGGTCTAGGGTGGGTGGGAGTGGTAACAGAAACCACCCCCTCTTCTCGGGACCCCTTCTCGGGCCGAGAGATGGTGCTGGACAGAGCTGTGACACAAAAGATGGCTGGGGGTCTTCAGGCAGACTGTCTCTCCCGTGCCAAGAAGGGGGCCCCTACTGGCGGGCATGGCATAGTGCCAGGCCCTGGGTGCCCACGGTGGGTGCAGCTGTGAGGTCAAGCACTGTCACTCCATTTTGGGGACAAAACGGCCACGGCCTTGCAGGACCCAGCAGTCACTTCCTGTGGGGAAGTGTGGGCAGGACCCCCCCGGCCTGCACCCCAGCAGCCTGAGTCAGCAGGGAGATGAGGGCTGGGCTGACCGGAGGCAGGGCAGGGGAAGCCAGCCTGGGGCCAACTGGGCCGAGCCAGAGACCCCTCTGGACCCTGGTGGTGCCCCTGCCCACCCGTGTGTCACAGGGTGTGTAAAGGGGCGAGTGACACATGCAGTTCCGCCAGGGGGGCCAGAAGCCTCTGTCGCCGTGGGAACCAGCAGGCCCACTCGGGAGCGGACACTCGGTGCCCTCCTTGCTATCTGATGGGCAGGCTTCCAGCGCCTGACGCTGCTCAGGGCCGTGGGAAGGCCAGGCCTGCCGCGTCGGCCCCACACCTGGGCCGCCAGGCTCCCTGGAGGCGCTGACCCGGGCACGTGGAGGCGATGCTGGCGTCGGCTGGCTGATGGGCACACGTGGGAACGTATGGTATGTTGCGTCTGGGGGCTGAGTTCACGGACACGGCCTTTCTGAAGAGCTATTGCTCATTTGAGAGGCAGAGTGGCAGAGTCAGAGGGGGAGAGCGTCCATCCACTGATCAACGGGGCTGCAGTGGCCAGGCCCGGTCCAGGCCAGGGCTCTTCCACGTGGACGCAGGGGCCAAACACACGGTCCCTTCTGCCTCCCAGGTAAGCAACAGCTTAACCCACTGAGCCACAGCCCCTGACGCTCATCTCCCTGTGTGTAAATGCACATATACATATAAATGTTTGTGTGGTGGGCCTCACACCGCAGCAGGGCACACTAAGCCACCCCGTGTCAGCATCCCATACAGGAAACAGCTTCTGTCCGTTCCAGATCCAGCTCTCTGCTGGTGGCCCGGAGAGCAACGGAGGACGGCCCAAGTGCTCGGGCCCCTGCATCCACATGGGGGACCCAGATGGGGCTCCGGAGTCCCGGCCCAGTCCCTGCCGTTGGCAGCACTTGGGAAGTGAACTCCCTGCTGGGCAGTCCGGGCTGACCGTCCTGCAGGTGCAAGGGAGGGGCAGAGCCTGGCACACCTGAGCTCCGGATGGGGCCATGCTGCCCAGGAGCCCAGGGGCACCTCCATATGAAGTAGGGGAATGACTTTGAGGGAACCGACAGGGCGGGCGGGGAGTCGGCAGATGAAAGAGCCAGCTCTGGGCCGGCCTTGTCGGCCTCTGCTCAATGTGCCCATTATGCTGCTGACTGACATCTGTTCATAGCCAGACGTTACCGTATTCCCGCCCAGCACCTGGGGAACTTTCCGGAGGGGTTAGGATTGTTCCGGAAGGCAGGCGTCAACCGTGAGTGCCCTCAGGCTGGCTGTGAGAGTTGCCGGCCGGGGGCCTCTGCCAGCTCTCTGCAAGGTTCAAAGACCAGGGAACTTGGGGGACCAACACAGGTGGCTGAGAGGCGGGAGGAAGCCCCGCACAGGGGGAGGTGAAGGGCAGGGCTGGGCAGGACCTGGCTCCAGGGCAGCCCAGGCTGGGGGGCTAGCAGGGCAGGGATGCCGCTGAGGCCTCCCTGGAGGGGGCATCGCCGACCGAGCCTGCGGCCACTCTGGCTGGCCAGGGGCCGGAGAGCACTGCAGAGCAAGGCGCTGCTGGAAGCTGCGGGGAGGGGCCAGTCTGGCGCTCCCGTGGGGCGGGGCCAGCGGCTGGCCCCTCCTCCAGGCCACGCCCTCTGCAGAGGAGAGCCGGCCCTGCCCCTGGGCTCCCAGGTGCTCCTGTCCAGGTGCCTCTGCTCCCGTGGTCCGTAGACACTCCGCAGCCCTCAGCTGCTCCCCAGGGGGAGGAGCCGCCAGGGACGTCAAAGACACGGGGGAGACAGAGAAACTGAGGCTGGAGAAGAGAGCCTACTCTGCCACCACCAGGAGAGCCTGCACCAGCAGCTCAACTCCTGCACAGCACGGCCCCGAGCTGCGGGCAAGGCCCTGGCTGGGCTGCGGAAGGTGAGGTGGGCAAGGAGATAAGGTCAGGGGGCGCCCTGTGCAGGGTGGCCAGCTCAGAGCAGGGCGCTGGGGTCCTCCCTGTGTGGAGGAGCTCAGCTTGAGGTATGGCCACGTCGGGCTATGGAAGGGTCCCCCGCTAAGGCTTTCCACAGGCCCCTCGGTGACGAGTATTCCTTCTGAAGTGGCCGACAGCAGGGCCAGACCCTTCTGTCCTGCCCCACACGCACGGCTGGGTCTCGTAGCCCCCCCACATACACATGTGATGAGCTGACAACTTATTGCTTGGGGGTTCAGTGAGCAGGAAAGATGGGCTCAGGGGGCCCCTTTGGTCAGCCTGGCATGGCTGTGGCCAGTCCCTGAAGTGAGCTGGGAGCAGAGCCGAGATGGGCACACATGGGCAGGTACTGCGTGCACATGGAGCTGGGAAAGCACCCGACTGGGAGGTGGGCAGGTCCACTGCGTCGTGCAAGCCAGAGGAGGCACCTGGAGGGAGTGGTCACGCAGGGAGTGAAGCCGCCAGGACACCAGGTTGGCCTACCTTGGCAGTGCCCTCTGCCTGTGTGCATGTGTGAATGGTGGTGTGTGCACGGGTGTGCCGTGCTGTGTGTGGATGACTGTGGGATGTGTGTGCACGGGTGGGCGTGTGCAGCTGTGATATGTGTCCACGGAGAACCTGGTGCTCCTCCCCCACGGTCACTCAGCAAAGGTGGCCAGCTGGCAGAGTGGACGCGGCATGAGCACCCCCCTGCAGAGCCACCCCCCACACACGTCCTCCCTGCCAGCACCTGGGGCCTTGCCGAAGCTGGGGGTTAACGGAGGTACTGTTGCAGGCAACACCCCTGCACTGACCCTGGCCCCTTGTCTTCTGGTCCTCCTGCTGCCTTCCCGCTCAGGGTCTTCCACCTCCCTCAGCCCAAGGGGCAGTCCCTGCTGGCACGCCTGACACTGCTGACTCCCAGCAGGCTGCAGTGCTCGGGGCCCCTGCCCAGCTGTCTGTGCCTACGGGGCATGGTGTCAGGCCCCTTAGAGAACAGAGGGCAGGAGGCCAGGCAGAGTCGCAGCGCCCTCCCAGGCTGGCACGCTGAGCACCCTGAGCGGCTGGCATGGCAGTGCAGTTTGCCACAGATGACGGCGTTCAGCACCCTGCTCAGATTGGTCAAATCTGCCCGGCTCTCTGAATGCCTGCACCCACAAGGCACTGTGGTTCTCACCTGTGGTCCACCAGCTCTGAGAGCTGACGCCCACTGCAGTGGCCCCCTGTGCAAAGACACACACGGACACATGTGCTGACACAGGTCACACTTCACACCTGTGCACACACACCCATGCACACACCACACCTGTGCACACATACACACACCTGTGCACACCATGAACTTGCCTGCACTCTCACCTGTGTTTCCCCTGGTACCCAGGCCGTGGGGACACGAGACAAAGGGAGGCTGGGTTTTGGATGCTGGCTGGCTAGCCACACGCTGGGTCCTGGCTTCGTGGGAAGTGCAGGTGGAGAGGTGACCGTGTCCTCCCCGCCCCACCCCTTTCTTGGCTGCCCCCGGTACCCAGGCCAGAGGGCTGGACACAGGATCCTGGGCTGAGACTCCAGGTGCCGCCTTGGAGAGCAGACACTGGCCATGGTCTGGAGCAGGAAGGCTCAAGAAGGAGTCCCAGCTGGTGACTCAGGCCCAGGGGGTGTGGCCAGAGTGGGTCCTGGGCTCAGTGGGCATCTGCGGTGCCAGGTGAGGGGCGTTCAGGGGTCTGTCTCTACTGCAGGGCTCTGCTGCCCCAGCCCATGGGGTTCTCAGCATCCCCTGCCAGGGCTCAGGATCGCCCCCAGGCCTGGCAGCGGCTCTGCCCCCCGGGGCACGGCTTGACACAGGGCATGTCCCCTGGGTAGCTGTCCCCATCAGAGGGGCGTGGGAGCCTCTGGAACCCAGAGCAGCAGCCCTTCAGGGCCAGTGCTGGGGTGTAGCAGGTGAAGGGCACTGGTTGGAGTCCCGACTGCTCCACTTCAGATCCACTTCTGCCCCTGCTAAGGAACTGGCAGAGCCCTGGAGGACGCCCACGTGCTTGCCCTTTGCACCCATGAGCCCTGACCGTTGAGGCCATCAGAAGTGACTACGTGGATGAAAGATTCTCAACTCCGACATTCAAATAACTATGCTAATAGAAACAATAAACTCGACTTCCAGGTAACTCCCAGGGAGGGACTGGCCCTTGGCCGCTGGTCAAATGGCTCAGGCTGGGGAGTGCTCAAGCCAGTCTGCACTGGGGGCCGTCAGCTTTGCGCCTCCTGCAGCAGGTCGGGCAGCAGTGGCCGAGCAGACAGCCGGTGACCCCGGAGGCAGACACGTGGAAGGCGTGGGCTCTGCTGCAAAGAGGACAGTGTGGCCACCCAGGTCGCCCCTAGAGGCCTGTGGCCAGGAGGAGCCCGGCCTACTACTGGGCTGGGCATGACCAGGAGGGCAGGAGCCCTTCCAGAGCCAGGCTGGGGACCCGCTCTGCAAGGCAGCCTCCCACCTTGGCCGTCAGTGCCCGTGGTCCTGGGGCGCCCTCTGGTGGCCGCATGGGCCAGGCCTGGTGGGTTGTCCTGTTTCTGGCCAGCTTAGGGCATGAGGGGGTGCAGGCAGGGCAAGACCTGGTATTTCCCTGGTTGGGGGCACCGGAAGCTCCCCAGGCCCTGCTTCCTAAAGAGCCACCTGCAGCCTCCTGGACACTGGACACTGGACCCCGGCTCAGGGAGGAAGCCAAGGCCCTGCGCATCTAAAGTACGGGAAGCTGGAGCAAGCACTGAGGAGAGGGGACCCCCACCACGCGCCCCCCATGCCCTGCCTGCCTGGCCTGATCACGGTCCTGACCTGACCCATGGCCAGCCCACAGCCCCATGGTCCTCCACAGCAGAGCTAGAGCAGAGCGCTGGCCCTCCTGTCCCCTGCCGAGGGCACTGAGCCACATGCTCTGGGGCAGCTGCTTCCCCACTTCCAAGTAGACTCGGGATAAACTGAGGCAGAGCCCTGTGCAAGCTTGCGTCCAGCGTGATACCGGCTGGCACAAACCCACTGCCCCCCGGCCACACTGGGCACCCCTCCAGGGCCAAGGATACCCCAAGGTGGTCAGGCAGTGCCCTGGGAGTGCTCATTGGCTGCCCAAGTGTGGCGTAGGCGGCGAGGAGGAGGAGCCGGGACGGACCTGTGGGCACGCCCTGGGCAGCAGGCACACACACCCCAGGCAGCAGGCAGGTGGTTCCACCAACCCCAGGCTGGCAGCCACGCAACAGGGTACCAGGCCGAAGGCACTCAGGTAAGTTTCCCCAGCACCCCTAGGAGTGTCACATGCCTGTGGGGTGGGAAGGGCAGGGAGCCCAGGACAGTGTGGCTTCCTTCTGCTTCCAGGGTTATTGAGCGGACAGTCCCACTGCAGGCTGGTGACAGGGATTGTACACGGCCCGGAAAAGGCCTGGTGGGGCATAGGTGACCACAGTGGTTTGGGGCCACAGCATTTGCACAGCAGCCTGGAAAGGTGTGGGGGCAGCGGGGGGGGAGGGGGGACTCGGGTCCTCGTGTCCCTGTCGTACATGCTGTGCCAGACTATGGCACACCTGCTGTGGGGCCAGGGGCACAGTGTCCACACCCCTCAGGAGATGGGCAACCCTTCTAGCATCTTCTTGCCATTGCCCAGGACCTCTGGCAGGAGAGAAGCCCCAAGCCTAACCCTCAGTAGAGCTGAGCTGCGCTGGGAGGAGCCAGCCTGCTGCTCTGTCCTTGGCTGGGGAGCCACATCTGCTTCCAGCAGCTCTGTGGTGACCTCTGTGCATGGCCAGCTGCCCCCAGAGCGAGGGCTACTCACCTGCACTTCTGGGGCCAGCTCCTGGCCAGGGTCATGCGGAACCCTGGGCTACCCTGGGCCCTGCACCCCACAGGCCTGCAGGGGACACAGCCCCTAGGCCTCAGACAGCTGCCATGCAAATCCCAGCCCCTTTGCATGCCAGCCCTGCTGCTGCATTTGCCTGGCGTCTGGCACCCGCCCAGCAGTGCTTGGTCTTGTACCTGGGGAGTGGAGGTATGGTGTCCTGCCCTTGACACCAGGAAAGTGGGGACAGGAGCTTCAGCAGACGGGACACTGAGAGCCCCAGCCTGGGGTGCCAGGGAAGGGCTGGCACTGGAATCCGTGCCCCAGGTGAGGCTGCCCACAGCCTTCCTCCAGGGAAGAAGTGGGGTCCCTGGCCTGTGGCTTCCAGTGCCTAGGGTGAGGCAAGCCAGCCCCCAATCCAGCCGAGGGCCACACCCAGGCTGAGCTGGGTACTGCCCCGCATGACGCCTGGCCAGCTAAGGCATGAGGGGCCCCAGGAGGATCTGAGCAAGAGGGTGCTGGTCCAGCAGCCGGGGCAACATGAGAACTGGCCCAGAGAAAGCTATGAGACAGCAGGATAGAGGCTGGTGCAGCCACAGCTGGGGGCTCCTGGGGCTCTAGCAGCTGGATGGGGCTCCCTGACCTCCCTGGCCTCTGGCCTCACCCTCTCCTGGGACTCCCACTCTGCTCTCTGTGTTACCCCATCACGAGACAGGGGGACCCTGCTGTGTGTCCCCCTTGTCCAGGGCCCGGCACTTGGGCCAGGTAGTCCCCTGCAAAACCTGCCTCTGCCGGTGCAAGCTGAGGGCGGTTTGCATCCCTCTGAGGGGGAGGGTGTTGGCCGGTGGATGCTGAGAGCAGCAGGCTAGGGCGGCTCCACCATGCTTAGGGCTCCCTCGCCCAGCTGGTCCCAGCTGCAGTACACACCGCCAGCCACATGAGCTCAGGAGGGGCCGGCGGAATGCCCACACACCTGTTCAAGGAGAGAACGGAGGAGGCAGGTTTAGGGCAGGCCAGGGTGGCCAAGGGGGTTGCGGGCTGGGAGACACAAGATGAGGGTCTGCATGGAACCGGCTCCATGTCACCAGGGTCAGTGGAGGACAGCCAGACCTTGGACATGGCTGCACTGAGAGTGGGGGTGAGGCTGAGGGCAAGGGTGGGGGTGAGAGTGAGGGTAGGGGTGGGCCTCCACTGTTCTTCAGGGTTCAGGACGCCCTAGAGTAGGGACCAGCATCGGCCCAAGTGTCCAACTGCGGTCCGTGGCAGGGCAGGAGCCAGGCTGGCTCGGGGTGTGAGCAGGACACCCATGGCGGCTGGGGTGGGACTGTGGGACAGCAGGAGAGCCGGGAGGGCACTGGCCTCCCTGTGCCAATGTTGCCATGCCCCCACAGAGCTGCAGCATGGAGGCCAAGCCGGGCCCCCTTCCTGGCAGCCCTCAGGACACAGCAGATGGGCAGGGCCTGGGCATGCGCCGGGCCGAGGTCATCTTCGGAGGGTCTGGGAAGAAACGTGGCCAGGTAGGGGCAGTCCGCACCCCCAGGGTGTGCAGGGGCAGGGTGTGCAGGCCCTAGCTGGGGCACCCAGCCAGACAGGACGCTCTGGCCCCTCTCCTCCTGTCTGCCCTGTGCCATACACCCGACCCATGCCCCCAGCACAAGCCTGTGGCTCTCGCCCTGCAGCTGGTGAAGGTGCCCTGTGGCGTGAGCCCCTCGGCACTTTTCAACCTACTCCTCGGTGAGTGGCAGCTGCCGGCCCCCACGCTGGTGGTGTCCCTGGTGGGCGAGGAGCGCCCTCTGGCCATGAAGTCCTGGCTACGGGACCTGCTGCGCAAGGGGCTTGTGAAGGCTGCCCAGAGTACAGGTGAGGCCCGGAGCCCCGTCCCTGTGCCACGGCTGAGGGGTCAGGGACCGTCTCCCCTCCACACATTCCTGCATCCCCACAGGGGCATGGATCCTGACCAGTGCCCTCCGCGTGGGCCTCACCTGGCATGTCGGGCAGGCTGTGCGCGACCACGCGCTAGCCAGCACATCCAGCAAGGTGCATGTGGTTGCCATCGGCATTGCGTCGCTGGGCCAGGTCCTGCACCGGGGACACCTGGAACCAGCCCAGGTCAGCGTGAGGCTTGGGGCGGCTGGGCGGCCTGGGGATAGGCCGCAGTGCAGGGCCTGCGTGCCCAGCAGGTGGCAGCATTGCCCAGGAAATGGCCAAGCCATCAGCTCAGTGCCCTGCCTTGCACAGGAGGACGCCCCGGTCCATTACCCTGAAGATGATGGTGGCGGCCAGAGCCCCCTCTGCCCGCTGGACAGCAACCTGTCCCACTTCCTGCTGCTGGAGCCGGGCCCCCGGGGGCAGGAGGAGGAGCTGATGGAGCTGTGCCTGCGGCTGGAGAGGCACATCTCCCAGCAGAGGACAGGCTACGGGGGTGAGCCCTGCTGTGGGGCCTGGTGGGGCAGGCAGGATCAGAAAGGGTCCTGTAGACCAAAGTTCCCGAGCATGCGCAGCCTCTCAGAGTGGGCGCAGAGGGGCAGCCATGGCCTGGCGGCAACTTCCCCACCTCACACACACACACACACACACACACGCACACCAGCTCTCCTACCTCACACACACACCAGCTTCCCCACCACACACACACACACACCAGCTCCCCCACCTCACACACACACACACACCAGCTCCCCCACCTCACACACACACACACACACACACCAGCTCCCCCACCTCACACACACACACACACACGCACACCAGCTCTCCTACCTCACACACACACCAGCTTCCCCACCACACACACACACACCAGCTCCCCCACCTCACACACACACACACACCAGCTCCCCCACCTCACACACACACACACACACACACCAGCTCCCCCACCTCTCACACACACACACACACCAGCTTCCCCACCTCACACACACACTCACACACCAGCTCCCCCACCTCACACACACACACACACACACACACACCAGCTCCCCCACCTCACACACACACACACACCAGCTCCCCCACCTCACACACACACACACACACACACCAGCTCCCCCACCTCACACACACACACACACACGCACACCAGCTCTCCTACCTCACACACACACCAGCTTCCCCACCACACACACACACACCAGCTCCCCCACCTCACACACACACACACACCAGCTCCCCCACCTCACACACACACACACACACACACCAGCTCCCCCACCTCTCACACACACACACACACCAGCTTCCCCACCTCACACACACACTCACACACCAGCTCCCCCACCTCACACACACACACACACACACACACACACCAGCTCCCCCACCTCACACACACACACACACCAGCTCCCCCACCTCACACACACACACACACACACACCAGCTCCCCCACCTCACACACACACACACACACGCACACCAGCTCTCCTACCTCACACACACACCAGCTTCCCCACCACACACACACACACCAGCTCCCCCACCTCACACACACACACACACCAGCTCCCCCACCTCACACACACACACACACACACACCAGCTCCCCCACCTCTCACACACACACACACACCAGCTTCCCCACCTCACACACACACTCACACACCAGCTCCCCCACCTCACACACACACACACACACACACACACCAGCTCCCCCACCTCACACACACACACACACACCAGCTCCCCCACCTCACACACACACACACACACGCACACCAGCTCTCCTACCTCACACACACACCAGCTTCCCCACCACACACACACACACCAGCTCCCCCACCTCACACACACACACACACACCAGCTCCCCCACCTCACACACACACACACACACCAGCTTCCCCACCTCACACACACACACACACACACACACACACACACACACACACACACGTGCAGTGCACCGTCACCAGAGGGCAGTGTGGTCTGAGGCAGGACGCCACCACTCAGGCCAACGGTGATCCAGAGTCCTGGTAACCACTTTTGACACGCATGATATCCTGTTTTTGCAAATACACACCCAGCTCCACGCAGAGGCCAGAACATGCCCCAACTGTCCCCAGCGAGTCTCGTGCTGGTACTGGCCGCAGTGGTACCTGGCCGAGCCGGAGGTGCGGGCCCTGGGAAGGAGCCGGCTGGAGGTTCTGCGTGTGGGTGGTCACCTCTGCTGCCCGGCCCGGCCTCCAGGCTCCCCTGGAGGGGGACTCACGGCCGCTCTGTCTGCAGGCACCAGCAGCATTGAGACCCCTGTCCTTTGCCTGCTTGTCAGCGGCAGCCCCAGCGTGCTGGAGGTAACGCAGGGCTGATGGGGAGGGTCCGGGGGTGGCAGCACTCGGGGGCTGATGTGGCCCTGTGACCCCTCCGCCCATCCCAGCGGATTTCCAGGGCAGTGGAGCAGGCGACCCCGTGGCTGGTCCTGGCCGGCTCAGGAGGCATGGCTGACGTGCTGGCCGCCCTGCTGGGCCAGCGCCATCTCCTGGTGCCCCAGGTGGTGGAGAAGCAGTTAAGAGAGAAGTTCCCCGGCCAGACTTTCTCCTGGGAGGCCATTGGGCACTGGACCAAGCTGGTGCGTGACCCTGTCCCGGCCCCTGTGAACTGCCAGGCGCCCCATGCCCAGCCTCCCCCTGCAGAGTGCAGGATTGGCGCTGGCCTGGGCTGAGCCCCAAGCTGGGGCACCTGAGACTGTGGGCTGGCCTCTGCCCACCTGAGGCGCCCCTCACAGCCTGGGTCTGGTGCCACAGCTACAGCGCGTCGCAGCGTATCCGCAGCTGCTCACCGTGTATGACTTTGAGCAGGAGGGCTCTGAGGACCTGGACACAGTGGTGCTCAAGGCGCTGGTCAAAGGTGAGGCCAGCAGGTGGGGGAGGCCCACAGCTTGGCATGGCTTCTTCTGCCCCGCCCATGGCTCAGAGGGCGTGTCCTTGGGGTACCCACGCCCTGGCTCTGCCCATGCCTTCACCTGCTTTTGCCCGCTCTGCCCCAGCCTGCAAGAGCCACAGCCAGGACGCCCGAGACTACCTGGACGAGCTCAAGCTGGCTGTGGCCTGGAACCGCGTGGACGTGGCCAAGAGTGAGATCTTCAATGGGGACGTGGAATGGCAGGTGCCTCCCCTGCAGCTGGGCTGAGGGGCTGGGGCGGTCGGCCTCAGGGCTGTTCAGCCGTCCAGGGGAGGCCCTGGGGGCCCGCCCCCTGGGGATGAGGGCCCACTCACACACCCCCACCCCCAGTCCTGCCACCTGGAGGAGGTGCTGATGGATGCGCTGGTGGGCAACAAGCCTGAGTTCGTGCGCCTCTTCGTGGACAGCGGGGCTGACGTGGGCGCCTTCCTGACCTACGGGCGGCTGCAGCAGCTGTACCGCTCTGTGAGCCCCAAGAGCTTGCTCTTCGACCTGCTGCAGCGCAAGCTAGACGAGGGCCGCCTGACGCTGGCCGGCCTGGGCGCCCCTGAGGCCAGGGGCCACCCAGCTGGGCCGCCGGCCTTCTCGCTGCACGAGGTGTCCCGCCTGCTCAAAGACTTCCTGCACGACGCCTGCCGTGGCCTATACCAGGACAGCCGGGCTGCAGGCCGCAGGAGGACGGTGTGTGGGCCGGGGCAGAGTGGGGCAGAGCTGGGTGGCCAAGGAGGCGGGCTGGGGCAGGCCGGCGCTGCACGCTGGACACCAATTCACTGTCCACCAGGAGAGGGGACCCAGCAAGCGGCCCACGGGCCACAAGTGGCCGCTGGACCTCAGTGAGAAGAGCGAGGACCCCTGGCGGGACTTGTTCCTGTGGGCTGTGCTGCAGAATCGCCATGAGATGGCCACCTACTTCTGGGCCATGGTGAGCCACGCCCTGGGGACTCACATCCTGGAAGGCATAGTGGGGCGGGGCGGGCCGCACGGGCCCCTGACACCCTTCTGCCAGGGCCAGGAGAGCGTGGCAGCTGCTCTGGTGGCCTGCAAAATCCTCAAGGAGATGGCTCACCTGGAGACAGCCGCCGAGGCCGCCCGCACCCTGCAGGAGGCCAAGTACGAGCAGCTGGCTCTGGGTGAGTGAAGGAGCACTGGGCAGGGGTGTGACAGCACAGCACAGCAGTGGGCAGAGGCGCTCGCTGAAGCCAAGTTGGAAGGCACCTGGGCCGGCTGGACCAGGCTACAGCCTGGCAGCTCCCACCGTCCTGGCAGAAACAGGGAAAGGCTGGAGCAGGGTGTGGCTCAGGGCATGGCTCTGGGTGTGGCTCTGGCACGGCCATGTACAAGGCCTGGCCAGAGTCTGGGTGGTCGACACAGGGCCTGCCCAAGAGAGCCAGCCCAGGTGGGGTTTTGCATGGTATGGCATGGCCATTGTACAGTGTGGCTACAGCTGTGGCATTGTGTGACATGGTACCACCATGGTGTGGTGTGGCTGTGCTATGGCAGTGCCTGCAGTATGGCTGTGATGTGGCCACGGCATTGTGAGGTGTGGTATGCCGTGGCATGGCATGGTGTGGTGTGGCATGGTGTGGCGTGTGGTGGCATGCCGTGGCATGGTGTGGTGTGGCATGCTGTGGCGTGGCATGGTGTGGCATGGCGTGGTGTGGTATGATGTGGTGTGGCGTGGCATGGCGTGGTGTGGCATGGTGTGGCGTGAGGTGGCAAGCCGTGGCATGGTGTGGTGTGGTGTGATGTGGTGTGATGTGGTGTGGCGTGGTGTGGCATGGTGTGACATGGGGTGGCATGGCATGGTGTGGTGTGGCATGGCGTGGCGTGGCGTGGCATGGTGTGGTGTGATGTGTGGTGTGGCGTGGCGTAGCGTGGTGTGGCGTGGCGTGGCGTGGCGTGGTGTGATGTGGTATGGCGTGGCGTGGCATAGCATGGCATGGCGTGGCATGGCATGGCATGGCGTGGTGTGGCATGGTGTGGTGTAATGTGGTGTGGTGTGGCGTGGCGTAGCGTGGTGTGGCATGGCGTGGTGTGGTGTGATGTGGTATGGCGTGGCGTAGCGTGGCGTGGCATGGCATGGCGTGGCGTGGCGTGGCGTGGTGTGATGTGGTATGGCGTGGCGTGGCGTGGCGTGGCATGGCGTGGCGTGGCGTGGTGGCCAAGTGGCCCTGTGGGGCAGATCTCTTCTCTGAGTGCTACAGCAACAGCGAGGAGCGCGCCTTTGCCCTGCTGGTGCGCCGGAACCGCAGCTGGAGCAGAACCACCTGCCTGCACCTGGCTGCCGAGGCCGACACTAAGGCCTTCTTTGCCCATGACGGCGTGCAGGTGGGCACAGCGGTCGTGGGTGCAGCCTGTGGCTGCCCAGGTTGCAAACACGCAGGGGGAAGGGGTGGGGTTGGGTCTTTCTTGGAAGCCCCTCCCCCACTCCTGCAGCCGCCAGCTCCTCCCACTTCAGGTTGTGGGGGAGGGGCTGCCTCCTCAGGTCCCTTCACTGGCAGCTCCCAGAGTCAGCCAAGCCCGAGCCTGCGAGTGGCTTTCCCGTCAGAAAGAAGGGCTTGGCACAGGGCCTCTTTGGCATTCACCAGGTGCCAGGGGACAACGCTCCCAGTGGGGTGCAGCAGGGTTGCGGGGGGGTGAGGCCAGCTGGCAGGTGCACTTGTCTCCCAGGCTTTCCTGACCCGCCTCTGGTGGGGGGACATGGTGGCGGGCACAGCTGTGCTGCGGCTGCTGGCTGCCTTCACCTGCCCGGTCCTGATCTACACCAGCCTCATCACCTTCAGGTGGGTTGGGTGGGCGCCAGGGCTGTGCCAGAGCGGTGGTAGCCCCTGCCTCTCCCTTGGGGCGTCTCCTAAGTACCCCTATGCCACAGCAAGGAGGCCCCGCTGCGGGCAGGCCCGGAGGCTGCACAGGAGCTGGACGAGCTGGCCTCTGGCAGGAGCCTCCTGGGCAGCCGGTGAGGGGCTGCAGCTGGGGGCGGGGGCCGGGGTCCCCGCAGCCACACACCCGCCTCACCAGCCAGGACCCCCTCTCCACACACAGGCGGGAGGAACTGGTGCCAGCGCCGAGTGGCTGGCGAGACCGGGGTCCCTGGGCTGCTTTCCTGCTCACTCGCTGGCGCCAGTTCTGGGGCGCGCCCGTGACCGTGTTCCTGGGCAACGTGGCCACGTACTTCGCCTTCCTCTTCCTGTTCGCCTACGTCCTCCTGCTGGACTTCCGGCCCCCTCCGCAGGGCCCCGCGGGGCCTGAGGTCGGCCTGTACTTCTGGGTCTTTACGCTGGTGCTGGAGGAGATCCGGCAGGTCAGTGGGCTCCGCCACCCTACCACGCCTCGCTTCTGGCACCCCGAGCCCTCCTCCCGACCCCAGACTCAGCGTGGCGCCCCTCTCAGAGCCAGTCCGGATCCAGCCCAGACAGCCCCAATGCTGCTGATGCAAATTTGCTCTTTACTGGAAAGTGGTGGGAGAGGACAGAGCAGTGCGGCTGGATCTCCCACGTGGTGGCTCACTGCCCCGAGCACCCACAGCGGCCAGGCCGAATCCCGGCGCGCGCGTCTGGGTCTCCCTGTGCCGGAGGGGAGCATTCCGGAGCCCCCAGGCACCCCGTGCAGCCTGGGCCCTGAGTGTGGGCAGAGCCCGGCAGCAGCGGGCGGCTGTGCCCACGCAGGGCTTCTTCACGAACGAGGACATGCCCCTTGTGAACAAGATCTCGCTGTACGTGGAGGACAACTGGAACAAGTGTGACATGGTGGCCATCTTCCTGTTCGTGGCGGGCGTCACCTGCAGGTGGGTGGCTCCTGCGCCTGCTGCGGCCTGTGGCCCGGGGGACGCGTGCACCCTGAGGGAGGCCAGCACGGCCCTTGTCCTCGGCAGGGTGCTGCCCGCGCTGTTCGAGGCCGGCCGCACCGTGCTGGCCATGGACTTCATGGTGTTCACGCTGCGGCTCATCCACATCTTCGCCATTCACAAGCAGCTGGGCCCCAAGATCATCATTGTGGAGCGGATGGTGAGTCCCCGGCCTGCTCTGGGGTGGGGCAGGGGAGCCCTGCCGGCCCGGGGTGCCCCTCTGCCGGCCCGGGGTGTGGGGCTGGCGGCCCCTCTGCCGGCCCGGGGTGTGGGGCTGGCGGTCCCTCTGCCGGCCCGGGGTGTGGGGTGGTGGGGGACCCAGGCAGCTGCTGATGGCCTCTCCCCGCCCTGCCCCCGCGAGATGAAGGACGTCTTCTTCTTCCTCTTCTTCCTGGGCGTGTGGCTCGTGGCGTACGGCGTGGCCACCCAGGCGCTGCTGCACCCGCACGATGGCCGCCTGGAGTGGATCTTCCGCCGCGTGCTCTACCGGCCCTACTTACAGATCTTCGGGCAGATTCCGCTGGATGAGATGGACGGTGAGGGGCACAAGGGGACAACGCGGGCGTGGGCAGGAACGGCCGGGCCTCACAGGTGCCCCCAGGGGTCCCAGGCCTCTGCCCAGCACACGTCACCCTGCACACGTCAGAACCCATCCTTCGCTGGCTGCAGAGGCCCCTGGCCATGGAGCCAGTCTCTGCCGCCTGCCGAGTCCTCCCCATCGCGGGCCCTAGCCAAGCTGGGCTAGAACCTTGCTCACAAGGGGGCAAGGGAGACAGGGAGAGGCTGCCCCCAGGCCTCGAGCTTGTTGGGGTCCAGTGGCCAGCGAGCCAGCTGGGAGCCCCCGGGCTGCGGCCCCGGCCGAGATGCTGAGGCTGGTTTGGTGCCCCCACCCACTCAGCAGATGTCCCGGGGGTGGCAGGACGTTCTGTCCCCACTCCTTGCACGCCTCATGACGTGCAGTGCTGTTTGCTCTCACACAGGCGGCCTTTTCCAGGCCATTAGCTTCACCAGACCCCACCTGGCACACAGGGCCCCGCGGGAGGGGTAGGAGGCACCTTCCCCCGGGGACGGCACCTCTGCCCTTCCCGGCTGAGCTGGATCGTGTGGGAAAGGTCGGCGCTGCTTGCCTGGGCCTCGTGGGCAGCGGCTCAGCCACAGGGCAGCCCCCAGCTCTCGGGATGCGGCCCCCAGGTTAAACCCTGCACCCGCTTCCTTCTGGGTGCCGAGGCTTGGGCAGCACCCCCAGCGGGACAGCCTCCCTGCCCCCACTCCAGCCCCCCACGCGCCAGCCTGGGACCAGAGCCCCTTCTCCAACTTAATTAGCAGCCAGGCCTGGTGGCGCCGTCCGAGTCACGGCGTGGCGGCAGGGGTCCCATTTCCCCCCCGAGTGGCTTTTATCCGGCAGATTTACGGCTTCCCAAACAGCCTCTCTGAGCCGGGCCCAGCCGCCCCCTCTCCAGGCGCCGAGAGGGAGGGGAGGCCCTTGAATTAGTCCCAGGAGCAGATGCATGGGCCGGGGGGCCGCCAGGGGGGCCAGCGGGGGCCTGGCATGCTCCGGCACCATGCGCTCCCCTCCCCCAGACACTCAGTAACTCACAGCCCGGCCACCCGTCAGTCACACGTGTGCCTGGCGTCCAGAAACAGCACACAGGCCTGGGGCCCCAGCTGGGGCGGCAGAGCTAGGTCAGGGGAGACAAGCAGCCTGTGCGTCCACACATGCCCCCCCGACAGGCCAGGTCTCCACCCAGGCCCTGCCTTTCCTGGGGTTAGGGTGAGTGTTACCCCTATAGCAGCCAGCCAAGGCCCTGCCCCCCAGGATTGTGTCTGCTGCTTCCCATCCCCCATGTGGCCTAGGCTCTGCCTCTTGTGTCCAGCCCAAGTAGAGGGATGAGTCCAGCACCAACTGGCCATGCTCTGTTGTCCTGAGCCTGGGCCCTGGGGCAGAACCTGGGTGCTGAAGCTGGACAGCTGTGGCTGTGTGCCCGGCTAGGGATCTGTCCCCATGTACCCACCACCACCACCACCACCACCCTGCTCTCAGAGGCCCGTGTGTCTGTCCCCACGTGCCCACTCCCCTCACAGAGGCCCGTGTGTCTGTCCCCACGTGCCCACTCCCCTCACAGAGGCCCGTGTGTCTGTCCCCACGTGCCCACTCCCCTCACAGAGGCCCGTGTGTCTGTCCCCACGTGCCCACCTCCCCTCAGAGCCCCGTGTGTCTGTCCCCACGTGCCCACCTCCCCTCACAGAGGCCCGTGTGTCTGTCCCCACGTGCCCACTCCCCTCACAGAGGCCCGTGTGTCTGTCCCCACGTGCCCACTCCCCTCAGAGGCCCGTGTGTCTGTCCCCACGTGCCCACTCCCCTCACAGAGGCCCGTGTGAACTGCTCCGTGCACCCCCTGCTGCTGGAGAACTCGCCCTCCTGCCCCAACCTCTACGCCAACTGGCTGGTCATCCTGTTGCTGGTCACCTTCCTGCTTGTCACCAACGTGCTTCTCATGAACTTGCTCATCGCCATGTTCAGGTGGCCCTGGGGGTCCCACCTCCCGGCCCCGACCCCCACCCCACCTCAGGAGGTGTCATTTGTGGGGGTCTGGTCCCAAAGCACAAGGTTGAGATTCATAAACAACTTGAGCCCCTGGCTTGGAGTGGGTACGGCCCAACTCCTGCCCTGCCTTTGGAAAGCCAGGCATGGGAGGACTGAAGGCCCCCGGAAACCCCGGGATGGCTACCCCGAGGGTGAGGGTCCCACGTGTCCCCCAGCTACACATTCCAGGTGGTGCAGGGCAACGCGGACATGTTCTGGAAGTTCCAGCGCTACAACCTCATTGTGGAGTACCATGGCCGGCCGGCCCTGGCCCCACCCCTCATCCTGCTCAGCCACCTGAGCCTGGCACTGCGGAGGCTCCTCTGCAAGGAGGCAGGGCCCGCACGGGAGCGCCTGGGTGAGGCCCGGGGCGCTGGGGGACGCCTGGGCCCCTCATCCCAGCACTCCAGGGCCCAGCTGAGTTCACCCCTGCCTCCAGAGAGAGACCTGCCCGAGCCTCTGGACCAGAAGATCGTCACGTGGGAGACGCTGCAGAAGGAGAACCTGCTGAGCAGCCAGGAGAAGCTGCACAGGGACAGCCAGGGCGAGGTGCTGCGCAAGACGGCCCACAGGTGCGGCCGGCGGGCCGGGGCACCCCACACAGGGGAAGGCTGCGGGGTGCTCACGCAGCCCCTGCTCCTCGGCAGGGTGGAGCTCATCGCCCAGTCCCTTGGAGGACCGCGGGAGCAGGAGCGGCGCCTCAGGTGTCTGGAGTCGCAGGCAAGTGGACCCCGAGGACTCGGCGTGGGCCCAGCCCGGCGCACCCCGGCCCACCCCCTCACCCTGGACACCTGATCCGCCCCAGGTCAACTACTGCACCGTGATCCTGTCCTCGCTGACTGATGTGCTGGCCCAGGGTGGCACCCCCCGCATGGGTACGTGTGGCAGGCCAGCGGCTCTGCCTTGCTTGGGCTGCCTGTGGCCAGGACCGGGGGTTGGCTCGAGGCTGGGGACCACTGGACTGCTCAGGCAGGACGGACATACTCTTGTCCCTGCCCCAGGTGCCCAGGGCTGCAGCCCGAGTGGACAGGACCTCACAGACCACGGAGGGGCCACCGGCGGCGCGGAGCACCCGCAAGCTGCCCAGCCACCCTCAGACCCCTGAGTATGTCCTGTACTGAGCCCAGGCCTGCCCGTCGTCCTCCGTCCCCCCTGGTCCTGGACTGCCTGCTTGTTGCAGCGGCCTGGAGACCCCTGCCCGGGCTGTGTCATCGGGTAACTGTGATGCGGCCACTCTGTCGTCCAGGCCCCGACCCAGGGGTGACCCCTCTGTTCCATGGGGTCTGGCGCTGTGGCCTGGGCCCCTGCACCTGCAAGGGGGGCGGGACCACGACGACGCTCTCGGCTTAATAAAAAGCAAGCAACCAACATGCGGGAGGGTCCAGGGCGACGCCAAGCCTTTATTGTGCGCGGTGCCCGGGGCTCACGCCTCCTCGGCCGGGCCATCGAGGTCACTGCCTTTGCAGCGCAGGTGCTGCCGGCTGCGCTTCCTGGCGCCGTGGAAGCGCACGGGGCTGCCGGGCGGCCGGGGCCAGGGCTCCCGCTGCTGCCCCGGGCTGGCCTCGGCGGCGTCCGGGCTGCCCTCGGCGGCGTCTGGGCTGGCCTCGGCGGAGTCCGGGCTGGCCTCGGCGGCCAGGTGCGCCAGCTGCACCGGGCCCGGTGCCGCGTCCTGCGCCGGCGGCCTCTTCCTCTCGGGCCGGGCGGGTCTGGTGAAGAGGACGCGGCCGCGGGGCTCCTGGGGCGAGGCCGGGGAGCAGCGCGCGCCCAGGAAGGCCAGGGCGGCCTCCCGGTTGCCGCGCTCGCTGACCACGGCCACGTCCTCCAGGCTGTACTTGGTCCAGCGCTCGGGGTGCACCAGGTAGTCGGGCAGGCGCGGGGCGGAGTCCCGGGGCGGCGGGCCGGGCGCGTCCAGCCCGTCGAACACGCTGTGGCTGCGCTGCGCGAAGGCCGAGCTCTGGCCGCGGAGGCGGAAGGGCCGGCCGAGGGCCAGCTCCGAGTCCTCGGGCTCGCCGGGCCCGGCCTGGGCCATGAGGCCGCTCGGCGGCTCCTGCGGCGGCAGTGACGGCCTCCTCCCCGGGCAGCCACACCGGCCGCTCGGCCTTCTGGGAAACCGAGTCCTCTGTCGGCCCGCGCCCTGCGCGCCCTGCGCCCGAGAAACCACATCTCCCACAAGTCACCGGGCTCCCGCGCCCGAAGGCTGACGGGACGGGCCGCCTTGTGCGCACGCGCGCTCGCCTCTTTCCGCCAACGCTCTCTGCCCCCCACCCCCGAAGCAGTTCCGGAAATAGAAAACGCGCGGCGGTGACACAAGGGAAGGGGCGGAGCCAGCGGTGACTCCCAGAGTGCTCCGGGGCCGACGGGTAGAAGCCGCTCCTCGGGGGTTTAGCGCCCCCTGCCAGAAAACGCGGAAGCGGCAGCCGGTGGCGACGTGCGTCACCGCGCCTGGTGGGGGCGCGGCCGTTTCCTGCTCCTCCGGAAACGGAAGTGGCTGCCCCTCCCGAGTGTCCAGGAGTCGCCCCCGGAGCGGGCCGGGCAGTGTGGGGTCCTCCACGCCGGTCACGGGCTGCTTGCCGACCGTGCTGGGGCTCCGTGCAGCCAGGGGCCGCGCTCCCCTTAGCTCCCCAGACCCCGGGCAGCCCCCGGTGCAGGGAACACCGGCCCTCCGCCTCGTGCATCGTGTCCACCTGGGCCGTCCAGACGGAGGCCATATTCCCCTTAGCTCCCCAGGCCCCGGGCAGCCCCCTGTGCAGGGAACACTGGCCTTCCGCCTCGTCCACCGTGCCCACCTGGGCCGTCCAGACGGAGGCCACGTTCCCCTTAGCTCCCCAGGCCCCGGGCAGCCCCCGGTGCAGGGAACACCGGCCCTCCGCCTCGTGCATCGTGTTCACCTGGGCCGTGCAGACGGAGGCCGCGCTCCCTGGCTCGCCCTAAGCAGTGGGAACACTGGCCCCCTAGCCTCGTCCACCTGGACCATCCGAATGGAGGCCACGTTCCCCTTAGCTCCCCAGGCCCCGGGCAGCCCCCTGTGCAGGATACACTGGCCCTCCGGCCTCGACCACCGTGTCCACCTGGGCCGTGCAGACGGAGGCCGCGCTCCCTGGCTCGCCCCGTGGCATGCCAGCCCAGCCCAGGAGGTGTCCCAGCGTGGGCCTTGTGGCACACAGCAAGTGGAGGATCCAGTCCCTGGGGAGTGAGAATAGGGGAGCGCGGGACCCTTCCGGGGTGCACAGGATGTGCGCCTGCCCTCCGCGGCCTGCGTCCACTGGCCCGTCTGCTCCGTGTCCCCGGTTCCCTCAGAGCCCCTGGCCGAGGTTTCTGACAAGCGAGCCACACCCGCTCCCCTCACTGCCTTGTGGCATCTGAGGCGGCCACCTCCCTTCGTGTGTCCCCACGGAGCATTCCCCTGGGGCCCTGTCCCCACCGCACAGGACGGGGTGGGAGGATGCTGGTGGCATGCCTGGTTTTTCCTTCTTTATTAAGTGACCGTTCCAGCTGTCGCTGTCACAGTGGGGAGGTGACATGTTAGGGCAGGTGCGTGGAAGGCAGAGCGCTCACTGGTCCGGCCCTCGGAATGGCCGGGAAAGCAACTGGGATTAAAAAGGTGGGGAGGGGGCGGGCAGCCAGGGGACAGAGCCCCCCACCCCGGTCCCCGAGGTCCCCCAGGGCAGGGCTGGGGTTGGGGAGGCGGGCTTGGGCAGACTCCACTGACACACGTGCCACCTGCACGTGGCAGCCCCCGGCGCTGGCAGGGGCGCCCAGCCCCAGGCGCGAGCGGAGGCAGGCCAGGCGCTATGTACACAGGCGGTGGCGCGCCATCGTGGTGGCCTCAGTACACCGAGCTGTTCCGGATGCCACAGCACAGCACCATGCTCAGAATCATCTCGAAGATCTGGGGGCGGGAGGGGTGTGGGTGAGCGCCAGGCCTCGGGGAGCCCCTGCCCTTCCCGCCGCAGCAGGCCCGCCGCTCACCATGATCACGGCCACCACGATGGCGGCGATGCCGATGAGGTACAGCTTCCCCGAGAAGAGCTCGTCGATCTTCTGGTGGCAGTCCTCCTGCGGGCGGCGGGCGGCGGGCGGCGGCCTCAGCTCCCCGGGCTCCCCCGGCTCCCCCGGCCCCCCGGCACCCCGGGCTCCCCCGGCTCCCCCGGCTCCCCCGGCTCCCCCGGCTCCCCCGGCCCCCCGGCTCCCCCGGCTCCCCCCGGCTCCCCCGGCTCCCCCGGCTCCCCCCGGCTCCCCCCGGCTCCCCCGGCTCCCCCGGCTCCCCCCGGCCCCCCCGGCTCCCCCGGCTCCCCCGGCTCCCCCGGCCCCCCGGCTCCCCCGGCTCCCCCCGGCTCCCCCGGCTCCCCCGGCTCCCCCGGCTCCCCCCGGCTCCCCCCGGCTCCCCCGGCTCCCCCGGCTCCCCCGGCCCCCCCGGCTCCCCCGGCCGCCACGCCCCCCACGCCCCCCGCGTCCCACATACAGCCCCAGGCCCCGCACGGCCCCCGCACCTTGAACAAGTTGCTGATGATGTTGCTGCCTGAGGGGCACAGGTTGTTCTTCAACACGGACGTGGTGAGCGCCGTCAGAGCATTGGAGCCGCAGCAGTTGAGCTGTGGGGACCACAGGGGCCGCGTTCAAAGCTGGTCCTGGCCAGGCCGCTCCCTGCCCTCTGCCGCCCCTGCCCCATCCCGCCCAGGCCGCCCACTGCCCCTGCCTCTTCCCACCCACGCCGCTCACTGCCCCCTGCCTCTTCCCACCCACGCCGCTCACTGCCCCCGGCCCCTTCCCGCCCAGGCCGCCCGCTGCCCCCTGTCCCTTCCCGCCCAGGCCGCCCGCTGCCCCCGGCCCCTTCCCGCCCAGGCCGCCCGCTGCGCCCCCGGCCCCTTCCCGCCCAGGCCGCCCGCTGCGCCCCCGGCCCCTTCCCGCCCAGGCCGCCCGCTGCGCCCCCGGCCCCTTCCCGCCCAGGCCGCCCGCTGCGCCCCCGGCACCTTCCCGCCCAGCCGCCCGCTGCCCCCTGTCCCTTCCCGCCCAGGCCGCCCGCCGCCCCCCGCCCAGGCCGCACCGTCTCGTGGAAGGTCTTCACCACGGCCTTGGCGTTGTTAGCCTCGTCGTCCATCACAGCCTGCTGCAGGGCTTGGTCGTAGAACTGTTTCACATCCTTGGCGATCTGGGGAGGGGGGCGCCCCAAGCCGTCAACACCCCAGGAAGCAGAGGTCACTCCTCCCACAGCCGCCCCCTCCCGAGCAGCAGGGACCCAGGCCCACCTGGTCCTTGTTGACGAAGCCCCAGATGCCGGCGGCCACCTCACAGGCAAACAGGATGACGAGGCAGGTGAAGAACTGGGGGCCAGAGGGGACGGGGGTCAGGCTGGGCGGCGGGGGCCACCTCCATGTGCCAAGCAGGGGTGTGTGTTGGGGTCAGCCCCCGACTCGGATGCAGCTCCCCTGGGGCCGGGGGCTGTGCCTCAACCTCCCCCCTTTCCCATGCTCTGGTCGCTCTGCCTCAGGAGCCACAGGCAAGGTGAGCCCGTCTCTGTGCCCGGCCCCCACGCCCTCAGCCAGCCGGACACGGTCTGCCACCCCCTGACCTGCCCTTACCGTTCCCAGCAGGCACTGTGACTCCTGGATGGCCCCATAGCAGCCCAGGAACCCGACAAACATCATCACGGCGCCCACGGCTATCAGGATGTAGATGCCTGTGGGGCAGAGGGTACGGGGGATGGTGAGGCAGAGGTGCCCCCACACCAGCCATGCCACCCTGTGGCTGCAGCCAGCACCAGGACATCAGGCAGAGGGTACATCCCAACCCTGGGGAGGTGGGCAAGACAGAGGCGCTGCAAGCCAGCAGGTGCTGGTCTGGCCAGGAGCCCTTGGAAAAGGCCCAGCACTGGGCCGGCACCAGTTGCCAAGCACCACAGCCAGGCTGCCACGTGGGACCCACACCAGGCTCAGAGCCAGCCCTGAGGCTCCAGCCTCCCTCAGGACATAGGATACGCCTGCCAGGGACCTGGCGTCCTTGAGCTGGGGCCCAGGGAGGTGGTCCCCGTCCGATAAAGCTGCAGAGAGCCCACGGCTCCTCTGGGCTCAGACCTCACACACGTGGGCCTGGCTCGACCCTCCCACCCAGCATCAAAGAGGGCATCCTGCCCCATGGGCCTGAGCCTGCACGGAGGCTGTGGGCACTGCCCAGGAGCTCCAAGGGCTCCCCGCCAGAGGCAGGTGGCACAGCCCCTGGAGCCCAGGAAGCTGTAACCCAAGGGAGGCTGGTGGGAGCGGCCAGGACTGGGACTCGACCCGACTCCCACAGCAGCCTGCCCCAGCAGCCTGGTCAAGGCCTAGGGACTCCTGGACACCCAGGTCCTGCCCCCAGCTGGGATCACAGCTGGGTCCCAGAGAGCCAGGGCAGGGTGGCAGGACCACTGCAGGCCCAGGAGGGAGGGGCTTTCAGTGGGGGAGACTGTCCGACAGGCCCAGGCTCAGAGCTCGCTGGTGCACCTCTGGGGGCAGCCGGCCCTGAAACCCGGCCTGGGGCCATGGGCAGCCTCCACAGGCACCACCCTGCTCTGGCAGACTGCCAGGAAGAGGACCCCGCACCATCCCACCCCACCCTTCACAAGGGAAGGCCCAGGAGACCAAAGCTTCCAGCCACCCGGGCTGGCATGGGCAGGCGCCCGCCCCGGCTGGGAGCCCTGCGCCTCTGGGGCAGCCCCATGCTCGTCCTTTAAAGGGCAACACTTGCCCAGGCCCCACCCCCAGCCCGCTGCTGGGCCCCCACTCGCAGCCGTATTAGGACAGCAAGGTGCAGCCAGCCGTCAGCGCCAGTGGCCTCGGGCGCCTCTTGTGCATTTAGCTCCACCCCTCCCGGACAGGCAGCCTTGCCCGGGACACCCACAGTCCTGCCAGCGAGGGCTTGGCACAGCCAACCCCGGCCAGCCGGCTGCAGGAGCTCAGCCCCAGAGGTGACCGCTCCCGCCTGCACCTGCCTGCAGCTCAGACGACTGCCTCTCCCACGAATCCTTCCACTCACCCACATAGAAGGTGTTGGGTGCCGGCCGGTCCCCCAGCTCCAGGTAGAGAAGGTTGGTGGTCTGCGGGTCATGGCGAAGCCACAGGGCCACGCCAAGGATCACGCCTCCGGCCAGCTGGAAACAGAGGACAGCGTCAGGGGCAGCAGCCCAGCTCTCACGGGGCGCCAGGGGCCCCCAGTCTCCAACAAGAGCCACCTCCTTTGCACAGCACAGCCTTGGCTCACGGGGGTCAGCATCCCATCCATAGACACAGGGGGAGGCCCACCCCAAGTGCTGGTCCCCTGGGAGGAGGGCAGGCTGCCGGGAAGGGATACAGCCAGGTCCCCTGGGGTGGGGACCTCAGCTTGCAGCTGTAGGAGTGGGGGCCACGAGGGAGGGAGGGAGGAGCTGGCACCTCAGCCGTCAAAGTGGGCACTTGTGGGGGCAGGACAGCGCCATTGGCTGGTCCCCAGGCCAGCGGGGTCTGCCCCCTCACTGGGGATCCAGGCTCTTCCTCAGCCAGCCGTGCTTCTGAGAAAGTCCTCCACAGTGCCACACGCCCCGCTTTCCAGGCTCCTCCTGGGGGTGGGGACGCACCAGCTGGTCCTTGCCGGCCCTGGGGTGACCTGCTGCTCATCCTCAGTGCTCGCAGGGGAAGGCTGGCTGTGTGACCACAGGGGACCATGCCCTGTCTTGGTCTTACCATCCTCCCAGCAGCCCGCTGGCAAGCCAGAGCTCAAGACTGAGAGCACCATTTGGTTGGGCCCCTGGCTCTGGGCCCCCGCAGGGAGCGGGCTGGGCCCCAAGGTGGGAGTGTTCCAGGGCTGTGAGAGGCCCAGGCTCACACGGAACCCCCCAAGCTCCCAGATGCATATCCCATTCACGTCACACACAGGTCCTCCACGCCACCAGAGGGACTGCCGAGGGCCTGCCCAGGCTGTGGCTTCTGCGCTTGTGTCCTCCTGAGGGTTTGAACTTGCCCTGGTTTGGAGCTAGTGCCAGGACCAGCCAGGGCCAACAGTGGCCTGCGGGCCAACCTGCCAAAGACCTGGGTTTCAGACTGAAGCCGACCAGCAGGGGACACGGGGGAGGCCAGTGGGGAGGTGACCAAGCCAGGAGGGCTGTTAGTGGACCTGTGACCTCCTTGGGCAGTAGCAATCATGAGGGACAGGGCCACTCGAAGGGGGCAGCCTCGGGCCCCAAACCCTGACACAGCTCCCACCGCCTTCCTGCACCCTCGCGTCCCCGCCCAGCTCCCGGATGTCCAGCCGGGGCCTGTGCACCCAGCACTCGCCCAGACCAAGGGGGTCTGGCCCTACCAAGGCAATGCAGGTGGGGCTGTGTGTGCTGCGGGGTGGGCCTGCTCTAATGGAGACCCAGGCAGGAGCCCTGGGCACCCAGCCTGCCACGGGAGGGTAGGGTGGGCTGTAAGGAGCGAGGCCGACCAAGCGGTGGCACCCGGGGCGTGAGATGCATCCAGCAATCTCGTGCATGGCCTGAGCCTGTGGACACTCAGTCACACAACAGTGTGACACAGACACAGGTCAGGGGACAGGAGGGCCCAGCTGGGAGGGCGCTGGCTGCCCTGGAGCGTCCAGCTCGCGGTGGCCCTGCCAGCTGTGTGCCAGCACTGTGCCAGTCTGCTCGCTGGCATCACACTGGCAGTCGGTCTCGGGTGTGGTTACACTATGCTAAGGCCCTGGGGCAGCACGGGAGGATGGCCGCAGGCTTGGGCCACTGCACTCACGTGAGAGACCCGGAAGAAGCTCCTGGCTCCGGCCGCTGCGGCCATTTGGGGAATGATTTCCAAATAAAAATGAGTAAATCTTTAAAAAAATAAACTCCCCACCCCCAGACTCGCAGGCCTGGCAGCAAACTCCCGGAAATGTTCAAGTGCGGTGAGCAGGGGACAGGCCTTGGCGAAAGAGGGCGGACGCCAGCCCAGTTCACCGTGGTGGGTTCCGGCATGCCTTCACCCATTGCTTTCCGACACAACAGCCCCCCAACAGTGGCACGGCCTGTCAAGAGGCTCGTGCCCCAGGAGGCCGCCCAGCGTGGGGGTGGCGGGCAGCACCTGCGTGTCTACAGGCCTCTGGCTCCATAAGACTCAGCTCCCTCCCTCCCTCCCTCCAACGGCTGTGCTCCCGGGAAGCAGAGGCTGTGGGCACCAAGGCTCCCACCCTACCCACCCCATGCCAGACCCCAGCCTCCCCCCCACCAGCCCACACATCCCCCTCCCAGGTGGCGAGACCCTCCTGTGCACTGTTCACTGGGCAGGAGGGCAGTGCAGGCCTCTAGCAGGCTGGGAAGTAGCCCTGGCCTTCCGTGTCCGGCCTGGGCCCCTGACCAGGCACGGCAGAGGGGGCCAGACTCCAGGAGGGAAGGGGCGAGTTATTCCTACCCTCGGCCAGGAAGCGGACGTATGGCCCAGGGCCCCCGGCTTCAGGAAGCTGCCTACCTCCAGCTTCTAAAGACAGGACGCCAGGGCAGGGAGGCAGACCCCAGACCCCTGCAGCTCAGGACAGCCAGCCTCCTTCTCCAGGGTGCCCCACAAAGGGGCTCTAGGGCAGGAGGGGTGTCACTTGGCTGCGGAAGCCCCAGGGACAGAGGCCTGAGGTGTCCCTAAGCTGCGGCAACACGGGGTTGAGGAGCGGGCTCTTGTCCCAGCCCTGCCCCCACTACCCGAGCAGTCACTTGGCACCTCACGGGCAGCTGTAGGCTGAGGCGCCAGCAGCCTGGCACGAGGCAGCTGCTGTGCTGGGCAGAGGGGCCTGTGCATGCTGCTGAGGCCATGCCAGGCTGGCAAAGGGGAGCACTTAGCTGCAGGGAGCCGGGGGTGGGGGCTGCGGAACCCGAGTAGCCCAAATCCACTGCCCAGGAATGTTCTGGTCCTATCCCAGAGCCCTGGCCCAGCACAGTGGGTGTCCTGGAGGCTTCGCTCTAGCTACATGCTGCCCATCCCTAACCCGTATCCTGGCCGTCTCAGACGACTCGGCACCTGCCCTTCCAGGTGGATCCTGCGGTACCACATGTGTGGGTGGGGGTGCAGAGGAAGCACTCGGAGTCACGCCACATGCAACCGAGGGCAGGCAAGGGCCCGGGAGCGCACACTTGGGCAAGCCCAGCTCTCCGTGCCAAACAGCGGGTCCCTGGGGCTGAAAGCTCACCACCCCCTCACACACACACTGGTCTGGAGTCAGGGACAGGGCTGGAGCAAGGGCCAGCCACCTGCCCCCACCCCAAGGTCCTCTGTACACCAGCAGCTGGCCGGCCCCTCCCACGGGCCTGGACTCTACGCCGTATCGATCGCACACCCGTTTTGGGAGCTGGACCGGAGCTGAGGCAGAGGTGGCCGGGGCAGACCTTCACCCATGAGGTGGATGGTGGAGTTAACTGCACACCTGAGGTTTTCAAATATTCCTTACTTATTTTTAATTTTTATTTGAAAGAGAGAAGGAAAAAAAATCTCCCACCTGCTGGTTCACTTCTCCCAATAGCTGCAACAGCTAGAGCTGAGCCAATTTGAAGCCAGGAGCTTCACTGTCCCAATGGGTACAGGGACCCAAGGCCTTGGGCCATCCTCCACTGCTTTCCCAGGCACGTTAGCAGGAAGCTGGATGGGAAGTGGGGCCACAGACAGAAACAGCCCAAGGCTGAAAATGTGCCCCGTGCAGGGCATCTGGCCCGGCAGCTACGACGTGGCCTGGGACGCCCACATGCGGTACCAGAGTGCTGGGATACAGTCCCAGCTCTGGCTCCCAACTCATTCCTTGCTATTGTGCACCCTGGGAGAGGTGACAGGCGCGGGCTCGGGCAGCTGGAGTGCCCGGCTCCAGCGTCAGGCTGCTCCAGGCCTGGCCACTGCGGGACTCCGAAGATGAACCAGAGGACGGGAGACCGATCTTTCTTTGACATTCAAATAAAGAAAATCTTAAAAACCCCAGGCATTCAAGACCAGCCTGGCCTTCCTCTGGGGCCCCGTGGCCACAGTGGGCACTTCCTACCCAGCCAGGATGGGCCCTCTCCCGGGCCAAGCTTCACGCTGGCCGCCACGCACGGCCTCCATTTCCGGAGCCGTCCCAGTGCCAGGCCCCTTGCTCACACTCAGGCGCTCCAGCCAATGTGCCAACAACCAGCAGACACATGAGCCCCCCAGGCCCTCCGCTCCCCAGCTTAGCTGGGCAGGGGGACGCTGTGGGAGTGGGCTCTGCAATGTGGGGGAGGGTGGCCCCCAGGGAGACAGAGGCCCTCGGGGATCCCGCGCGTCCACTCCTGCTGCAGGGAGACGTGCCCGCCCAGCTCCCCGGGGAGCACCCAGTTGCAGCAGTGGGCAGGACCTTACCCTGGCACGGATGCCCACAAGCCCAGGGCACAAACATCTCCTGGAGGAGGCCCCTGCCCCCACCTGCCCTTCACACCCCCCGCCGCCCAGCGGCTTCCGGCTCTGCTGGCCTCGGCTGGCTGGTCACCTCCTCCGTGTCTGGGGCCCAAGAGGACAGCTACCAATGCACGCAGACGCCACTTCCCCAGCCAAGGCCTCGGGGGGCCGGGCCATCCGCTGGCCAGCAGCGACCCACGCAGGAGCTCCGGCGGCCGAGAGGAGGCGTCCTCACCCCCCGGCTGCCCGCCCCAGATTCGGAGTAGGATTCTGAGCCTTCCAGATGGGAGACAGATGTGCCCAGCCCCACCCTCCCAGCTCACAAGTTTACAGTCCCAGCTCAACTTGAGAAGCACCCAGTCCTGGCCCTGCAGGAAAGGGGTGCCGTCCCCGCCCACCCACACTCCCCCTGGCTGGCTGCTCTCCACCCCACCCCCAATCCCACCCCTGACAGGAAATGAAAACAAAAGGCCAAAATCCTCCAGCAGCCCAGACCCGGGTTCGGAGAAAGTTCTCTCTGCCGAGCCTGGGACTGGGGACCCTGCACCCCGAGATAACCAAGTGCCCGCCCCTTTCCAAGGCCAGGGCCTCCCACCCAAGCCAGGAGCCTCCCTGGCTGGGGACCCAGGCCAACCTCAACCCGGTGCCAACTCATGTACCCCTGTGGGAGCCTGGGCCCCCCACGCCCCCTCAGGAAGCCGGGGCACAGCGGCAACTCCCAGGATCACCATCCTGGAGTGGCGCCAGCAGCCAGGCGGGCGAGCGGCTGGCCGGGCTGCGCGCCCCCTCGCCTCGCTGCCCCTGCAGGGGCGGTGGCCCCGATGAGCTCATGGGGGCGGGGCCAGAGCCCCTCCGTCCCCGCCAAGTGGGGTGGTCCCAGCAACTGCGTCCCAGGAGGCCGGGGTGAGCCCCAGCCGGGGGGCTGCTGGGCTCAGGGCTCCGGCACTCACACTCTCACCCTCTTGCGGGGACTTAACGGAAACAACCCCCACGTCTACCCAGGCGCCCCGCCAGGCCGCCGCGCTGGGCCCGGATGCGCAGAGGCCCCGGCCCAGCTCGCAGCGTCGGGGGGCTCAGACGGTGCCGGGTCACCCCAGCGCCGACCGCGCGCCCGGAGCCCACAGGTGGCCCGCACAACTTGGCGGCCGCCGGCGGGGCCTAGCGCACGCGGCCTCTCGGCCTGCCCCGGGTGCGGCGCGCCCCGCCCCCGGCCCGCCCGGTCCCGCCCCAGGCCCGGCCGCTCACCCAGAAGACGAAATTGAAGACGAACAGCAGGTACTTGATGCACTTGGTGCAACCCTCCACCCCCATGGCGGCGCGGGCGGCCTGCGGGCCGGGGCCTGAGCGGCGAGCGGGCCGGAGTGCGGGGCCGGGAGAGCCTGGGTCGGGAGGGCGGCCTGGCAGGCGCTGGGGGCCGCTGGGCCCGGGGGTCGAAGCGCGGCGAGCCTGGGGGCGCGGGGCGCGGGGCGCGGGAGGCCTAGCCGGTAGCGCGGAAGGGTCGCCGCCGCCGCCGCCGCTGCGCGCTCTCGGTGGCCGTGCGCGCGCCCTCCGCGCCTCTTATAGGGCGCGGGTCCCGCCCCTCCAGAGGCCCCGCCCCGGGCCTGGCCCCGCCGCCCTGCGCGCTGGCCGGGGTGGGGGGTGCTGCGGCCCCCGAGGTCCGGCGACGCCGACCTTTCCCCCTTTCCCCCCAGCCTGAGGCTGCAGGGGCACCCCTGGGTGTGCGCCTCTGGGCAGGGCCTCCCCCAGCTTCCTTGGTAATGCCGGAGGACTCCCCGGTGTAGGTGTCTGCTGTGTCAGCCCCCAGCTATTTTGCATGCGCAGGGGGCTGTCCGGGAGGACCTAGAACTGAACTCGGGCTGACGGTTCCTGGTTCCGCGAGCAGGTGCTGGTGCTGGCTGCCGGGACCCAGAGCCGTGGAGAGGATGGGAGCCACGTGGGACTCGGGCCAACTTCCTGAAAGTGGCCGCGCTGCCCTGGCTGCTGGAGGTTGATGAGGAAATGGGGTCACCCAGAGATGAACCCATGCTGTCGCCTCTGCTGGCCAGGCCTGAGGCTCCCTGGGCAAGGCAGGTGCTGTCCCTGCCCCGGGGACTTTCTGCCTGTGTCCGGGGAGCGTGCATGCTGCAGTGTGCAGCCCTGGGCGGCCGATGGCCAGGTCTGCTTTAGTTCCCCGTGAGGTGACCTCGGGGACACCCCAAGGAGTGACAGGGCTGGGAAAGCCAGGGTCCCTGTTAGCTGCCTGCTGTCCCTGGCAGTGGCAGGGCTTCCTGCCCAGGGCATGGCTGTGTGCGCCGTGTCCTTGGTCCACCAGTCGCTCCTGTCCCCTCTTTTCCCAGGCACCCGCTGTGTGTCGGGCGCTGTTCCAAGCGCTGGCTGGGGGGACGCCAGGCAGCCAGACCCCTCCCCTGGAGCCCCTGCAGCCCTGGTGGGCACGGCAGATGCCACCTGGCGCATGGTCCCATCCCAGGATGCTGGAGAAGGTGGGAGCAGGGAGTTCTCTGCCTGACATGGCAGAAGGAACTGGCAGGGGTGAGGCTGACAGCAGACGGAACTGGACAGGGGGAGAGAGCCCGACGCCAGGCCAGGTGGCTGCAGGCACAGGGGGCTGGTGCTGCCTTCCGGCCGTGGTGGCTAGTGGGCCCCCAGCCCCACAGACTGGCAGAGAGGAGGGGCTGTGCTTGGTGGGGGAGGGCAGCCTCACCAGCTTGAGCCAAGACAGGTCTCTGGGCATGTGTGGCAGGGCCTGTCCCAGCCCCCGGGTGGGCTGTGTTCCTCAGGAGACAGAGGGGCTTGCTGGGCTGGGCTGGGCCGGGCCAGGAGTTTCGTCCCGGCAGCGCCTTCTTTGGGAGAGGTGCAGCCCGTGATAGCCAGCACCCACTGACAGTGGGCAGATGGAATGTGGCTACGTCCCCTGCCCTCTGTCCTGAAGGTGGGGCCAGACAGCAATGGAATGTTAATTCCATCCTCAGCCATTCCCCCCTGCCCACCTGTGACTCAGCTATCAACTGAGAGGGGACGGTATTGCATTGCTGTGCAGCCACTCCCCTCCCAAGCCCCTTTAAAAGGCCCGTGAAGCTGGGGCTGGCTCTCTGGTCAGGGGCTTCCAGTACTCTGGCACCTCGACTCTTGGCTGACCCAGGACAGGTGATCCCCTGAGCAAGGTCCCTGTGTCCTGCTTAGATGGGACAATGGATATAGCAATATTATTTCTAATTTGTGTGCTGTCAGGAGTTCCAGGAGAGGTGAGGCCTAGCAGTGCTGGAATGTGGGCAGAGAAGCCAGGGGACGGTGGCTGTCTGCAGCTTTGTAAGTGTGTCCGGGCTGTCCGTTGCGTGTCTCTTAGGATAACTTACATTGCTGGGGAAGCTGGGACGTAGGTCTTCAGCTTAACGGATGGACTTAGGGGTAATGACCATTTGTTCCTCTTGGGGTTGTGTTTGGCTGGATTGCCGTATGGACGTGTGATTTGCTATTCCTAGTGTGTTCTATTATCACCAAGCTTGGTTAATGAAGGCTCCTTAATAAACCTTAGACATGGCTGGTGTGATCTCGCACCCCGTAACGGGGCTGAAGGTGCAGTGCCCGGCATGGGGGCCCAGGTGTTTCGCCTCGGCCTCCTCCCTTCCCTGGAGCTTCTGTAATTTAAAGATTTATTTATTTTTATTGGAAAGTTAGATGTGCAGAGAGGAGGAGAGACAGAGAGGAAGGTCTTCTGTGCAATGGTTCGCTCCCCAAACAGCCGCAATGGCTGGAGCTGAACCGATCCAAAGCCAGGAGCCAGGAGCTTCTTCCGGGTCTCCCATGTGGGGTGCACGGTCCCAAGGCGTTGGGACTGCTTTTCCAGGCCACAGGCAGGGAGCTGGATGGGAAGTGGGGCTGCCGGGATTAGAACCGGCGCCCACATGGGATCCCGGTGCAGAACCTAGATGTTTTCTGCCTTGATGGCTTGGCTGGGGGCTGTGTGATCTCCAGGCCTGATAGTGTGTGTGACAGCCAGCAGGACACCTGGCAGGTCACGTAGGCAGACCGCTCCCCGGGAAGGAGGTCCCTGGTGTTGACAAGATCCACCGCCCAATGGCTCGTCAGTTTGTACCTTTTGAAAGTTGCTTGTTTCAAACCCACCAACAGAAGCCTGCTAAGTCAGGACTGTATAATGAATAGCCTGAAATGTATAAGAACCTGGGCTGTTCAACTGGGGCCTGCGGATCCTTGCGGCAGCCTCGGCTGCGGCCGCCCCTCCCCGCCCGGCCCTGCGGGGGCAGGTGGCTGTAGGACCTGAATAAACCTCCTTCGTGCCTTAGCACCGACTTAAGATTGGATGATTTTCTGAGGATTCCAAAATCCGGCGCAACACCGGCACGTTCAATGCGAGGACTTTGGCAGCTATGCTATTGTGCCGGGCCCAGCTTGCGCAATTTCCCTACACACAGGGCGCTGCTGCAAGGCATTGTGGGGGCAATCAAAGATGCGGGTTAAACCTCGGCCTGCGTTGCTAGCATCCCATGGGGGCACTGGTTCAAGTCCCAGCTGCTCCACTTCCCATTGAACTTTCTACAAATGCACCTGGGAGAGCAGTGGAGGATGGACCGGGTGCTGGGGACCCTGCAGCGACCTGCAGGAAGCTGCAGGAGCCTGGCTTTGGACAGGCCCAGTCCTGGCCCTTGCAGCCATTTGGGGAGTGGACCAGCAGATGGAAGCTCTCTCCCTCTGCAGGCCCCAGAGCCCTGGAGGCCCAGCCTGGTGGAGACACTGGTCACGGCTTCCTCCCGAGAGAGGAGTTAAGACTGGGTAACAGGCAGTTAGGCTATACTGGCTCCCCGTCTTGGATTCACCAGAGCAGGTCTCCCCCAAGAGAGTGCATATCTTATCAGGAACGCGCTTTCCCGAGATGCAAGCCACATTAACACAACAATTCCCCACCTGAGGCTCAGCCGGGTTCTGCCAAGGGGGTCTTTTTATCATTAGAAAGGGACCAAGGAAGTTAACTTGGGCCTTGTGTCCGAAGCCCAGGTTCCATGGAAACCAGGAATTCTCCTTGTTTATGGAGAAACATCGTTGAGGGGAACTTTACAAATGCTTTCCCCACCTGTAATACTGTTTTCCCCCCTTTCCTCCTGCCACTATGGCAGGGGTGAGGGTCCTTTCCATCTCGGAGCCCCCTCTTGTCACCAGGACGGACACTATGGCAGGGGTGAGGGTCCTTTCCATCTCGGAGCCCCCTCCCGTCACCAGGACGGACACTCTGGCAGGGGTGAGGGTCCTTTCCATCTCGGAGCCCCCTCTTGTCACCAGGACGGACACTATGGCAGGGGTGAGGGTCCTTTCCATCTCGGAGCCCCCTCCCGTCACCAGGACAGACACTCTGGCAGGGGTGAGGGTCCTTTCCATCTCAGAGCCCCCTCCCGTCACTAGGATGGGAGTCTCCCTTTCTCAACTCTTCTAATAAAACTTGCTTTAAAATTAAACTGTCCACATGAAAATTCTTTCCTGCGAGACAAGAATTGAGGTTGCTGCCATATTCGGGCTCAAAAACCCTACAGCACTGAGTTCTGCATGACCCGGGGGGGCTGTAGACACAACGCTCACCCCAGGACATGCAGGAGAGGCCCCCCCATCCTCCCTCCAAGACTGCTGCATTTGGGGGTGGGGCCAAGCTGAAGGTGCCATCCCCTTGGGAGATGCCACAGCTGACACCAGGCTCCGAGTGGCCAGGAGCAGATGGGGGCCCTTGAGCACCCCACTGGAGGTCCCGCAGGGCAGCCAGGAGGAGAGCAGAAGCCTGGGGTGTCACAATCCTCGTTGCCTGGGGATGCAGTCTGGCCTGAACCTGTTAGGGTGTCAGGAGGGCAGAACCCAAGCCAGGCAGCACCTGGCACCCAGTCCTTGGACTGTCTCCCCAGGCCAGCCCCATGCCTGTACCCCAGCTGCCTCTCTTGCTGGCGGGAGGCAGGGGCTGTAGCCAGGAAGCAGTTTTCATGTGGCTGAAGGAGTTGAGAGCAGGTAGCAGGCTCCCTCCTGTAGGTGAGTCTAGCCCTCTGCGTGGGGTGGCATTGTAGACTGGGCACTCGGGAAGCGCATGATGAATTGAACAGAAAGCGCCCGCCCTGCCCAACACCCAGTGACATCCCGGAAAGGGGAGAAGGCTTGTCACCCACTTGTATGGTCATGAAATTGGAACGCAGACGGGATTGTGGGTCTTTCCCGGGCTGCCCGCCTGGCCTGGTGGACTCTGCTTCACGATGGAGGGAAGGAGACGGGCTGCTCTTGCCACACATCGCAGCCATGGGGCTTCGATCTTGGGGCACCCTGGCCTCAGAGCCATGGGGAGTCATTTCCTGATACCTAGGAGCCCACAGGACCCCAGTCCTGTCCCTGTTTAGTACCCACGCGACACTGTGTGTCGATAGCCTGAAAACCCACTGGAAAGTGTTGGAGTGGGGACAACTGAGGGCGGCGTGTGTGACAGGGGAAGAATGAATTCTGGGGCTTCCACAGACAGGTAGGCGAGGGAGCCGAGATG